AGTTTAGTCTTGTTTTAAGTTCGGATGAAAAAATATAGAAAAATCCTCCCCATATTTAAAGTATCCAACAGTGCATCCCAAAATTCTATGAGTTGTCCCCGACACATTTTCATGATGTATCCTGGTGTTTTTTTTTTTTGATTTTTTTAAAAAACAAAAATAGGTTTTTTTTTTGTTTTCATTCAAGAACCACCAATGGGTAGCCTTTCAAGACGTCCTATGAAGTTTTATTAAGAATGGACAAAAAAAAATTTAAATTCCAGGGCATAATTAATAAAGAAAAATACTGGGTTATAATAAAAGATAAAATTCAGAAACTTTCAGAGGATCAACTGGTTTTTATGGTTTAAATTATGAGCATTGATTTGAACATCAGAAAATTTTTAGAATAACATTGTTGTTTGAACTGGTAAAACAATTAGACATCAATAATTTTTTAGGAAAACAAGTTCAAAAATGAAACATTGCTCTATTCTTTTAGTTATGTCAAGTATATATAAACATATAGAATTTGGTCAAAAAAGGCTAATGTTTGGGAAATTATAAATCTTTGACCATAACTAGGTTAACCTAACCGATTCAATCATTGACATAAAAAAAAATGCCTTAAGGCCATGGTCTTTCATTTCAAAAATATAAGGTATTCATGAATCTTTTAACACATATCTCAGGATCTTTAGCTACATTTATTCATAGAGGTGCAACAGTTTTTTTTTCTGGACTTTAGATAAACCAGTCCACAAAAAATTTAAAACCACAAAACATAGCAAAAAATTCTTGTTGGGTCAGTATAAAGTCTTCCTACCTGGAAGTTTCTCCAAAATAAAAAAAAAAAAAAACGTGATTTGCAATGTATCTTATGATATAAATTATACTTTTTTTATATGGGCTCATTGGATTTGCTAATCATCCTTTTGGTTGGTAAGCAGGATGGCCACATTCCAAAAATTTGGATTTATCTTTTGATCTTCTCAAAATGGGGTTTTCCTCACATGAGGAATCAATTTAATTACACAACTAAATGAGATTTCTTATTCTCAAATTTTCTTAATTCATTTTTGAACAAAAAAACTTTCATCTGTGGGACAATTCATCTGATACATTCCATTGAGAATACAAACTTTATGATGATAGTTTAATTTTCAATTCAAAAATGAATGAATAACAATAGCAGACTAATAACTCAAATTCAATCACCTCAAAAATTGGATCATAGTAATCTTGGCTATCTCCCCTGATCCAATTAAATGGTAATGGCATGTAACTTTCCTTTTTATCTAAAAAGCATTCAACCTTGAACGAATGAATATTTCATTGACTGATTAAAGTTTTTATTCCTTAAAAACAATTTTTTCAATTGTCATGGGTTTCCTGTTCATAGCAAAGCATTTATCAGTGAAACTGAGTCCCCCAGACTGTTATACAACTTTAAAGTGTGGGCAGTCTGTCTTTGGTCTTAACCCATTATTTTCAACGTAACAAAGTTCTCATGGCCAACTTGTTGGATGTTTCCTTTGTCAATTAACAATTGTTTGTTTATTTTTTTTGATTCTCAAAAGAAAAAAAAAACCTTTGGTCCCATGTTTTGTAAACACATTAATCATTCGTGTAGTTTCAAATTTAAATGTACTAAGATGTCTTGTGTTGGACAAAAATTTGTTCTGTGTTTTTCTCTTTGTCAATCTATATATTTTTTTTTGCAGGTCTTGTGAAACTATGTGTCAATCTTTTTCATCTATTGTAAATGTATTTAAAAACCAAACAAAGGCTATAGAATTAACTGACCCTCGCATCAAAACATTGCACATTTATGACAAGAAATCTCAAAATAAATACCGAAACAAACTTAATCTTCTCATTTTATTTTGTTAATGAAATACATAACGAATAAAATTTCTTGAATAAAATTACTAAAAACACAATTAGATTTCTCAATGATATGAATTTTATTTGTCCTATGTAATTTCCATTAAAAAAATTACAATATATTTGTCCACTAGCTTTATTGAGTAATTTCTTTTTAAAATTGATGTTAAATTTTTAACCTTTGAATTTCAAATTTGAAGTCAAAAAATCTTAATTGAATGTCTCATTGAATACTGTAATTTTTAAAATCAACCACATTTTAGTGTAAGTGACAAGTTATCCAACAGTGCTTCAAAATTTCCATTAATGCAGTATTGGTGCTGGTGAGTTTTACCAAAAGTATAATGTGGTTTATTGTCTGTTTTTCATTTTCATTTCCTATGAATGCCAGCTTCAGATGTAAAAGATGGAATCCTCGTTAATTCATAAAAATGTCATGCCATATCTCAGTCTTTTAAACTTTCAAGCTTCCATCCATCAGAGCCATCCAGATAAATTTTGCCTTAAATCCATAAATCCTGTTTTTTGAAAAAGGTTTAGAAATTTCTAAAAGAGAAGCCCACATATCCATGGGCTCTCAGAATTTTTCAAATATTTCCATCGAATCCTTTTTTATACAAGCCACTGTTTCCCACTTGTCTAAATATTTTTTTGAAAAACATGCTGGCATCAATTTTCAGACTTCTTTATCAAAGTTCGAATTTAAATTTGGTTTTTTTTTTCCTATGATAAATCAAGTTTTCTTTCGTCATTGTTCTCGCCACTTTGGAATAAAACAAATAAAGAAAAAATCTTTCACATTTCAAACCTGAAACAATCCATAGAATTTCAAAATATCAGACATCATTTCAGTGACTTCTTGTACTTTCATATGCCAATAAAGTTGATATATTTTAAAACTCTTTGGTATTAAAAACAATAAAAATCTTAAAAAAAAAATATTTTGTTTATAATTAATTTCTAATTAATCCGCCTATTTGTTATGTCAATTTTCACGGTTTTTAAAATTTTAATAAAGCAAAAATATTTTACAAAAATGTGAGAAAAGATTTATATTATTCTTAATGTTTGTAATGGAGCACTAAATTTATATATATAATATACCGCTATAAATAATATTTATACTTATTTTATGTTCCTTTTTCCATTCTTGTGCTTCATCAGAAAATGATATTTTCCTTTACAAATCCTAAAGATGTTTTCAACCAGTCGAAAAAAGGAATTTTCATAAATATTTATTAAATTGTAATGAATTAAAAAATTTGAAAATGAATTTTTAATCATATCTGGTAAATTCTACTATTGTATTTTTTTTGGTCTACAAAGAAAAACCAAAAGTACATAACCATATATATATATATATATTTGTTATAAAATATATATATCCCCATGTTTTTTTTGTGTGTCCAAAGTATGTTCTGTCATTTGTGTGTGTATATATATATATATATCATATATAAATATATATATTTGGCTTTTTATTCAATAAAATATGAATATTAGTTTTAAAATCCTGGTTTCATTCTAACAAGTAATTATCAGACAAATGGTTTTTTTTTTTTGAAAATTGGATCTATTTATATTGTTTTGATTTCCATTTGTTTTAAGATTCTCCTGTCACAATCTTTTCTGTTATTTGATAACCTTTTACAAATAATAATGCATATTTTTATGTTTTTTTTGATCTATCTTATTAGGACTGTTGACGAGTAAAGAATTATGCAATAGAAAGGGACAAATGTGCTTCCAATTAGCTTGAACTACATACATACATTTGTTTAATCATTATAAAAATTTGACTCACTTCTTTGTTTCTAAGTTTTTTTTTTTCTTTTCTTTTCTGTAAGTGGTATGCATTTTAACACCAATTCATTTCATTTGGTCTTCAACGTTTTGAGCAATTTTACATATGCAAATTTTTAACTAAGAACAACATCCCTTTCCTATAACCACCTTTTAATGATTCATAGTACAAGATGTTAATCTTTCTTCTTTTCTTCCTGGTGTGTGTTTATTTCTAATGTTCAAATCAAGAGGTGTATTTTTTTGTTTTTGCTTTAATCTTTTTTATTTGAATATTTCTTCAATATTCCTATATCAATGTGATAAAAGCGTTGGTCATTGACTAATTAAATGTACTATATTTGGTTTTCTTTTGTTATATATTTTTTCAGTTTTAAACCAAAATTGTCTTTTTATATCATTGGCAAAATTTTTTTCAGTTCCTTGCTGAATTTTTTTTCCATCTGTTTTTCGTAACTCCAGTGTTGGAAAAATTTGCCAATTCAGATTTGACACACGGTTTCTAGCTTCATATGATCATTCATTTTTCACATTCCTTTTTTTTCTATTTTTTAAATGGCCTGTTTTATTAAATATTTTAACCGATTCAAAATAAACTGTATTTGTTCATGTTTGATCACTGTATTGGCATTTGTTATACTAGAACATACCTATTCTATTGTTAATAGACTCTCCCACATATAATAAGTAGTAGTAGTAGTAGCAGTCGCCAGTTTTAAAGTGAGTTGTGAGTCAGTCGATGTCGGACATTAAAGTATCAACCACCACAACTAGATTGCTGCGTCATTAACTATTATTTCAAGTTCCTAATGTTTTGTACGTCGAACCTTTTTTAGGACCGACTTAGTAAAATACAAGCCTCCACTGTGAAACTACTCTACAACACTATTGTTGCATTTGTGTTGTGGATCACAATTGAAAATGTTACAATGGCAGCGTGTTGGTTACAAAGTTTGTACAAACAAAAAACACGGAAAGACTGATGACCTATTCTAATCAATCAGTTTATCTTGAGCCATCTATCAAAATTTTTTTTTTCTGTCTTCTATTTTTTTGTTTTTTCAATTTACTAGTGCCTTTCCTATAGTGTCACAGGAACAGTAAATCCATTTGGTATTGTCTAGAGAATGTGTGAGTCATCGAAGAAAAGATAGACTAAAATCTATCAAAATACAAGGCATTATTTGTGTGTTCAAGGCTGTCTACACACAAAACTCTCTGCAGTACATTGTCAAAGGCATGAACTTTGAGGAGAAGTTTTTGTTGAAGGGTTGCTGATGCAGTCTACCATTGCAATCTGTCTGAAGAACATCCAGGCTGCATTGAAGGACATGAAGGCAGAGACCATCAATGCCAGCTGGAAGAATTTGTGGCATGAAATTATCCATGATTACAAAGGATTCACCCCAGGAGATATAAGCCAAGTGGCAGTTGAGGTAACATGGATGCTTGGAGGAGAAGGTTTGGTGGATATGACCTGCGATGACGTGGATGAGCTGCTGAAGACTCATTTGCATTCCTTAACTTAGGAATTGGTGGAGAGGACTAAGTTTTTAAAATGAGTAGGAGAAGAGCAGAGAGGAATATAAATATCATTTATGCTGAAAATATGTATGAAGTGATTGAACCCACAAAAAAATTTCCTCAACAGATTTAAAACTGTGCCAGCAACTGCCTATTATAATGTTTTCAGCTGTCATATTAACACCCACTTAATTTACTCTTATAGCCTGTCAGCAAAGACGACACACCACCCAAGATGCTTCTACTTTGAAGTCGTGCTTAGAAGCAGTAACCTTTGTTGTAACACATTCTCTTCATCATGGAACAAGTTGCATTATTTTCCTAGATTCATGGGAATAAAACAGGTTGATGAAGTGATTTAAACAATTTTTTCGTTGTTCATTATTTTAATGTACAATTATAATATGGTATTTGTAACACCTAATATATCTTATTTTCTCTAATATATTGGATAATATAAGTGTAAAGGTGACTGCAGGGGGTTATTTTGTGTCTACAGAGCCCTTATGTCAAAAAAAATATTTAGAAGGTTGTAAACAGGTTTTCCTATGCTCTAACTACGGAAATATTCAATTTAGAAATCAGGAATCCTACTTTGCAGAAATTAGAAATCACTAAACTGTCATGAAACTGATTAACTACAACAAAAAAGGGACAACTGTATTTTAAAAAAATAATATCCGATTAATGCATTTTACCTATAATGGTTTAACATATATATATATATATATATATATATAACAATTATATTTAAAAAAAATTTATCCTAGATTATTTAAAAATACATTAATCGAAGTTATTTTTTTAAAATAAATTGCTAAAGTAACGGAAATCAAGTATAAATATATATAATATTATAATTTTATATATAAGATATATAAATATATATATATACACACTGTGACACACACACACACACACGTCCTATTGGACAAGACTATATACATGTTGTGTGTGTATATATATATTCAAATTTTAAAACTAGGATTCGGTTATTAATTTTAATTTTGTTAGTCTCTGTAACCTTTCAACCAACATCTCATAAACCACCCTCGTTTTTCTAATTAACGAAAAGAACACTTACGAAAATGAAGAGCAAAAAAGGGGGAAACATACATATGTGTATATATATATATCTCACTCTATCTATTAATAATATTAAAGTAAAAAGTAAATATTTGTTAATATTTTGGCATCAACACATTATTTCATTCTTTTAATTATATATATATTTAAACTGCTGCATCTTAGAAATGTATTTTACTCAAATTCTCTGAGTTTTTTTATAAAAGTATTGCACTCTTTGTACAATAAGAATGTATGTAGCACTAAGTTTAACTGATGATTTCTCTTCCTGTTCTGACCTACTGATCCAGTTTTCCTCTCTACTGTTCACTCTTTTTTTAAACTTATTCTTTTGATATTTTTTTAATGGACTTAGAACATGGAAGCAAGACTTTGACTGTTGGTAACATTACAAAAGGCCTGGATGATCTTTTCCTTCACACCAGTCGGGTAAACATAGTGGATCTGGAAAAAAATGTTTTTATCTTGTTCTCTTTATCATTGAATAACTCAAGGCTTTTTCTGTGATTCCTACGACAAATGGTGTGAAGATGTTTAAATGTGAAAACCTGTAAAAAAAAATAAATTAGTTTAGTGTTTTTTTTTTAATAAGAAACATTTTGTGTAATAGACATAATTATTAATACCCTGTATATATAAGAAAAGTGTGATGTATATATATATATATATATATATATATATATATATATATATATGTATGTATATATAATATATGTTTGTGTATGTGAATATGTATGTATATATAATGCATTATTAATATATGTATGTATATATATAATAAAATTGTTTATATATTATGTATAAACAGTATCAAATATATATAATGCATGTTTGTGTATGTATGTATGTATATATAATGCATGTTTGTGTATATATGTATGTATGTATATATAATGCATGTTTGTGTATATATGTATGTATGTATATATAATGCATGTTTGTGTATATATGTATGTATGTATATATAATGCATGTTTGTGTATAAATATATATGATGTATATATATAATGCATGTTTATGTGTATATGTATATATGTATGTATATATAATATGTGTTTGTGTATATATAAATATATATATATAATATATATATATGTGTATATATATGTATATATAATGATATGTTTATATGTATATATATATATGTATGTATATATAATAATATTTGTGTATATATATATATATTATATATATATAATGCATGTTTTGTATATATATATTTTATTTATTATATATAATATATGTTTGTATATATATATATATATATATATTATATATATAAAAATATTTTGTATATATATATATATATATATATGTATATATATATATATATATATTTGTCATGTATATATATATATATATATATATATATATATATATATATAATATATATTTATATATATATATATATATATGTATATATATATAATGGATATGTTGTATATATATATATATATATATATATATGTATATATATTTATGTTTGTTTATATATATATATATATATGTATGTATATATATAGGTGGATATTTATGTATATATATATATATATATATGTATATATAATGCATGTTTGTGTATATATATATATATATATGTGTGTATGTGTGTGTATGGATAAATTTAATTGTGTATATATATATATGTATGTGTATGTATATATAATGCATATTTTTTATATATATATGTTTATGTTTTTTCAGTGGATAATCGGGAAATATATATATATATATATATATATCTATAAGTTATATATAAATATTTATATGTTTATGTATATATATATGAATATGTATATTTAATTTTTTTTGTGTATATATATATATATGTAAATGTATGTATATAAGGTTTGTTTGTTTGAGATATATATAAATATGGTCACATGTGTATGTTTGCTTGTTAACACTGAATGATGGCTCCTGTTATAAATATTTGATTAATAAAATAGATATAAAGCTGCATGACTATATATATATAATATATATATTTATAATAATAAACTCAATTTTTGAATATAGATTATAAATATATATATATTATAGCTTAATTCTGTTAAATTATTATTGCTTTTTTCACAACACACACTTGTTATAGTCTGAGTTCCAGGGCTGCAACTTATTTTTTTGTGTTTATATTCTTGGTTTGAAGATATCATCCTAAAAAAATAAAATAAAAATAAAATGAAGTAATATTGTAACCAAATAAAATAGCCTTCAAAAAGGCATGAACTCATCTCTTCTTCACCAATATCCCTCCCTCCACCAAGTCATTAGCTAAATATCAGGGTAGTCTAGGCTCTCTATGCTTGGGTTTTTATAACCTGATCTGATTTTCCTTTCAAATATTGAAAAAAAAAAAAACATTAATACTAAAAAATCAAATACAGGCCCCAAAGAAGAATTACGTTATTGTAATTAGAATAAAAAAAAAAATTGATTATAGCATAATACTCATTTAATAGATGGGATCCTTTATGTATAGATGAGACTGTCTGCACTTTTTAGGGGGGGGAAATTGCCTGCCCCTTCAACATACATCTTCTTTGTGACATCTCAGGTGCCAGGAAATGTCTCTATCGGTGGCCACACTCTAGCCCATGTCCTAAAGAGAGATATTGTCTTTGGGGGTGGTCTCCTGAGATTGAGCACTTCAATGTTAATTTTAACTGCCAAGCTGGGCCAGCTAAGTATATATAAGTTTTGTTTTTTTTTCTACTTATGAGCTCCAGGGAAAAAAATAATTAAAATGGCTCACCAGTTTTTTTTTTTTTTTAGTATGTTTAGTTCTCTTGAAGATCATTGATAGTGATGGAGTAAAAAACTCACAAGACACTTTTATGCCTTTGTTATGGACACTGAGCTTTATGAAATTAACAATTTTAAATCTTATAAAATTTTTACCTTTTTATTCTAGAAAATCTCTCCTGGGGTCTTTTATTAAAAGTTGATGTATCCTTCTTCTAATGCTTTTACCTAAACACCATATCCTCTCAGTATTTTTTTACCTGACTTTCTACTATTGTAATGTTAAATACATCAGTGGTAATACAGGGAGGGGAAATATCTCCTATACAACTGAATATGGTAACCAAGCTTCCTACTTAGAAGACTTGCATTTTCCTCTCTTTTGTGCGTTGAAATTGTTTAGTACCTACTTTAACACTTATTTCAAGATAATTATTGGTCAGTTGACTTTGTGTCTAAGCCAGGTTTGTTGGGTACTCCCCAACAAACTTGTTAATTAACATCTTAGAATACAAACTTGGTCCATCCATCAACTACTGCAGGTGAAGTGCAGATATGACATAAATGGTGTTCACTAAAAGTTCGAATTATATAAATGCAACTTGTGAGTGCATCGACTGAATCAATTTAACATGTTGCACAAAAGGACCCTTATTAAACAGGCCTGTCTAGTCAGAAGCCTTTTTCTTAAAAGATTTATAAATAAAACTCTGTTTCATGTCAGTTTTTTTTTTTTTTTTAATTGCTTAATAAAGACTGAACTGAGATTTTTGGTTTTGTGTTGTTTTAGGCACCAAGATTTTCTTTTGCAGTTTTGGTACTTTCATCTTTCATCTCTGCAATTATCTATAAATTTTAAATGTTTATGATTGCAGTATCTTTATGATGATTGCTGTCTTGTTAATTATACATAACCAGATTAGTTGATGACTTGTAAACAGCCATGGTCTCTATGGTGTCTCTTTAACCCAGCAAAGAATTTTCTGCTGGAAACATCTGTGTAGACTAATTGGTCATGGTTAAGGTGTAATTGGCAGAAATTCCAAAAACAGAATTGATAAAGTTTTGCAATAAACAACATAAAGAAAAGAGTAGGGCCAAAATAATATTGAGCAAACAATATATGCAAGACAAAGCAACATTAATGAGGCAAAAAAGTTCCCAAAGTAAGATGTTAACACATTAAAGGGGATACACACAAGTGATCACAATGTTCTGGCTTCAACATATATTTGTTGTTATTTTAAAACATGTAATCAGTAGTCCACTTTCTGTTGTCTGACAGTATTCTACACTTTATTTCTCCTATAGCCAATATATGCAGAGATAAAATTCTATTTGCCAATCCTACTACACCTCTCTGAACCAAAGAGATTTAATGCCTTTTTATTGTTCTTGAATTACTTCTACAATCGCTTTCCTCCTCTTCCCTTGAGATTTATATCCTATTCTTTTTTAATGAAGATCTTGGTCTCATTTCATCTTCTGTGTCTGAATCACGCCTGTTATCATCCATAGGCTCGTTTTTTTTTTCTATTAAATTTTCCTGATTTGAAGAACCCTCCTTTCTTCTTGTAGTGAAAGAGATAATCACCTACCTCAAAAAAAGAGTTTGTGTTTTGTGTAATTTCTGGAACCTGAAATTAGTTAGCAAAAATCTGCTACTTTGAGTATCAGAATCTATGACTAATGTTCTTTCCTCCCTGAATGACGGAAAAAATTGCTTGGTGAATAAAAAAGCCGTTGTTCTTTGAGCGTAAAGATTTTTTTTTATGAGCTTGGTGGACAGAACATGCCTTTTTGCTAGTGAGAAGTGAAGGTTAGAATTGTGACCCCATTTTGTCATTTCTATGTTGCCTGTTGGACTGCTATCCTGGACTATCATTTGAACTGTAATTTGGCTACAAGTGTTGCAGATGAGACAGAAGAAACCCTATTCCAGGTGTTTATTGTTACTATAAGTTTACAGGTTTTGTTTTTTCATTACAACACTTCTTTTGTCAAGATCTTCAATTCTGGGTCTTATTTGGTCAGATTGAGCCATTAGGTTTTTTCCCTTTCTTGGATATAATGGCACTTATGTCGCCTTTGCATGGTGAAATTCTCTTTCAGGACTTGCTACTTTGTCTTTTTTATACCACATTCTCTTTGTTCATTTATTGAGTAAGATTGTTAATGGAGATCTTATTTCCCCCTTAATGCAAATCGGTTTTGCAATATGTCTGCATATGGAATAGTCCTATAACTTCAGCAGTAATCTGACCATAGTATCTCTACTTGGGGACAATGGTGAATTCAATCCCATTTTTACTGTCTGCATCATTCTTTCTGCAATCCTATTAGGTGGTGGGTGATATGGTGTTTTGTAAGGAAACAGCTAATCTGCCTTATCTCGACCAATTAATCTTTACATAAATCTTCATCACAAAATTCTGGTGCATTGTCTGATACCAATGTTTTAAGAATCCCAATTCTAGAAAATATCACTTTATATTTGTAGACATTTTTCTAGCTTTAACATTATCAACTTCAGGCCATCCCAAGAAGGAGTCTACTAAAATTAGGAATAGTACCATGCCATTAATGTGTGCATGTCCCAAATGAACACGGCACCAGGATTTTGTATCCTTAGGCCACAGTGTATTCTCCTTAGTCGAAAATTCTTTATTTCTGCACATTTTGGA